GGGCCTACAGGAAGGATGGAGAGGGACTTTTCACAAGGGTATGTGGGGAACGTCTTTAAACTTAAGGAGGGCAGATTTAGATTAGATATTAAGAAGAAATTCTTCACCATGAGGGTGGTGAAACAGTGGAACATGTTGCTTGGAGAAGCTGTGGATGCCCCCTCCCTGGAAGTATTCAAGGCCAGGTTGGATGGAGCTCTGAGCAACCTGGTCTAGTGGAAGCTGTTCCTGCTCATGGCAGGGGGGGTGGAACTAGATAATCTTTAATGTCCCTTCCAACCCAAACCATTCTATGATTCTATGATTCTATGATTCGACTTGGGCCTCTTCTCCTCTATACCAGCAGGATGCTCTTTGTAACTCTGATATGATGTAACAGTCACCATAGCCTTGGAACCTTGTGAATTTCACACAGATGTGATCCATGGCGGTGTTTTACCAAGGGTTTCCTGCAGCATATAAACTGCAGGTTTTGGACTATCGTTGCTCACTTAAAATAGCAAAGTTGACTAGAGGTGGAGGTTTGAATCCGTGTTCATAGCATAACACTCTTTGTCTCTTTCACCTTCAAAACACATAGATTTTTAAAAAGTGATACTGCACATTGTGAAGTCTTCACGTGAAATGATGACATTTCTGTTGTTTAGAAGGCTACAAAATCTTACACTTTCCTCAAAGTGCGGGATTGTACATGATTTGTACAAATTCTGGTCATGTCAGAAGCAATAGGAAACATGGTGTTATCTGGTGTATGCCAAGTATTGAGAGTGAAACAAGGTGTTAGTTTCTTCCAGACAGACAGGTCCACATTTCCTAATAGAGTATTTCTAGTCTTGAACAGAAAAAAAATGGATTGAATAGATATAGCTTCCCAAGAAGATCTTGAGCCTAAGGTTTAATGAAGAGCAGACATGTTGCAACTTTTCCCTGGAAGAAGAGATAACTTTCTGCAACTTAACCTAGTAAGTTTTTTCTGTAGGCTATTAAAGGACGCAATTTTGTCCACCTGCACATTGTTCTGCTTTACTGTAAGTGTTACTGTCAATGCAAACATCATCATAGCTTTATCTTTGGGATTTACCACATCTTCCCTCCTGGGTGACATTCCCTCCAGCTGTCATCTAACAGGTAGAGAATATTACAAGTGTAGAAGACTTCCAGAATGAACAGGAGAGGGTTTGGTTTTTTTTCTGCAAGCTGTTCTGAGGTAGCTGTTAAATGTACAGACTATAAAGGTACACTGGAAAATATTAACATTCAAACTAATGGTGTACTTGGGTATGTTGGTTTACATGAGTCTCCCGTGATCTTAAATATTGCCTAAAGTGTTATTAGATTAATACTTCTGATGTTTTTTTGTGTGCTGCTAGGAAAAAAATGATGCAATCTAAAAATGAGTTGTAGCTGGATGGTAAGAGTAATGCAAAGATCTAATTCCATTTTCACTGTGGTTCATTTAATGTACAATAGTTGTAGCAGACTAAAATGTCTGGCACTGGATACACTGCCATTAGCTAAAATGTTTTACATCCCTAAAGTACATTTTCTGAAGGTCTTTGCATCTGCAGTGTATAGAATTTACTAAGCAATTTCAAAATTAATATGCAAATTTCTGAAATCTGAGCTTACAACAGTTGGGGTTTTTTTCTCTGTACCTTTTAGATAAGTTAACCATGAGGACGAAGTTTAAGGTACTACATCTCTGGATTTTCAGATCAATTTTTTCCTCATCCTGCATGACCAAATATAAAGTACAGAATAAATCATGCCATCTGTTAAATGAAGTTCTTTATAACTGCCCATGAAGACTGAAGGATTTTGGCTGTTGTTTTTAACAACATCTAGAATCTCTGAAGCACTTGACATACATAATTTGTATTTGACCTGAAGACGTTCTATCTAGCCCACCTCTGAGATCGAATAAAAGATTTTATTGGAAGGAGGGAGGGAGGAAAAGGGCTGCTATTAGAGCGTGGTGTTTACTGTACATATTCTTAAATACAAAGAGATGTAATTAAATTATCTTGAAAGCCTGGTCAATTTAGCTAGTCTTATCCAGCCAATTGTGCCTTCAGTGAAGCATGCACAACTCTCATTGAACTAAACAGAAATTGCATGTGTTTATCTGAGGATAAGATTTCACTCTCTCTTTTTCTGCATGCCTGTACGGGTTAATAATCAAATTGGAGCTTGCTGCTAGCAGTTAAATTCTTTGGTTAAGCAACCCATCATGATAAAATCAAAGAGTCAAATCTAGGCCTTTCTGCCCACAGCAAAAAGAACGGCTTTGCAAGCAGCTAACCCAGGCACGGGAAATTCTGCTCCTGACCAAGCCTGCGTTCTTTTGCCACTGCCTTGTGCCTTTTCTAGTTACACAGAACACTTGATTCAGCTTCATGCTGTCTTTGTGAACTAAAAAAGTGCAGGTTATGTAAAAATTACAACAATAGTGACCACACACATACTTGCATTGGATTTTTTTTTTTTTTTCAGAATGGCTATAAACATCAAAAGAAAGTGACTTGAACCATTTTTTCTCCTAGGTGGAAGTTTATAATATTTAATTTAATGTAGTTTCCTTCCTAGTACTTGCACTAAGTCTGGATTTAAACACTCTGACTGAAAAAAAATGCTGTTTAATGGAAATCTGATTTTCTGTAATTTCTGGAAGTACAACAATGAGATGTCAGCTAAACTTCTTTTGAAGACAAGCATCTGCTTCCCTAAAAACTTCATCGCTTACACGAAAATGTCACTCAGATCACCAAAGCCCTTCACACAACCACCGCTACCAAAATGTGGTTGAAAAAGGAGAGGTTTTATAGTATTTTTAGCTATAGATTTTTCAGTGCTTGTCAGAAGCCAAACACACCTGGTGTCATGACACTTCTGTCTGCATTTTGCATGTTTTTAAGAAAATCGCACTGCTGGAATTTTTAAGGAGCAGGAATGATCATTTCAAACAGCCTAGCTACAAAAAGTCTCACTGTCCTTCCCCTACTTTCCCTTAATTGATTAAGCTTTATTCATATTGTAATTCAAAGACTGTTGGGGCAATTTATCTACATAACCTTTCTGCAAACATCAAAACAACACAAGAAGCAGTTTGTTCTTCAGACTATGCACTGTAAGTCAAAGTAAAAAAAAAAAAAAGTGTCCCCCCAACACTCCTCACTTCAGAAAATGTATGAATGTACTTTCTTAAGAGGGTAAAAACAATACAGTAAGAGGGAGGAGTTGCACAAAATGTTATTTACTATCTCTTGTAGATATCTTTAGGTTTCAGACCACTGCCTCTCAACTGATAAGTCTCTTTTGCATTAGAAAGCATAGAATTATTTGCACTGATCAAACTGAGAATGCATGAAACTATGATTTTATTCTAGGAGAGTTACAGGTCTATAAGGAAGATTTATTAGTGGGTGAATAACTCCCAGACAGCTCTTATCACAGACAGGCATGCAGAACACAGGAAACCAAACTAAGCAGAATTCCCTTTACTGAATTTTCAATGATGCCCTTGATTATAGATAGCATTGTTTACTCTCTCTTTTTCCTCCAGCTTCCCTCTTCCACCAGTCTCTAATTATATCACTTTATGACCTGACCAATTAAAGCCTGCTCTTGAATTTGTATTAGAGCTGATGAAAAATTAAAGGTACAGAGGTACTTTTTCCAAGGCCACACACACCTCAGCTGAGCTGGCTGCCTGTTATAAGCCAGACAATACTAATGTTGCAATGATTTTTTTTAACATGCTATTAAATAAATATGCTGGAATAACACCACCTGGCAAGCTGAGATGAATACATGTTACTTTAATAATAAAGGAGTCTACAATTTTATATTGTGAGGTTAAGATTACTGATCTGATCCGCAAATTGGTTGAAGTTCTTGCTGCCACATTTAGGCTATTGATCATCCAGGGGAGCACATTTATTTAACTAAGAATTACTAAAATGCGATAGACTAATAGGAGTTGACTATGATTTTGTGTGACAAAAGGCAATATAGGTAGTACTTGGATAAATAACGTGTCAGTTGAGAGGACAATGGCATCTATTTACACATCATTTTAACACTTAGATTTTATAAAAAGGGACTCTATATACTTGTATGTACCTCTTTACTCTGAAACATTGCTTTTCTGTTACAATATGTGCTGTAGATTGGATGGGGGTTTGTTTTGTTAATTTGAAATTTAAGTTGAGGCAACTGAGTTTCTGGGCATTCTTTATCTAAGTCTGACTATAGAATGATGTGGTGTTTTCCCAAATATGATAGCTGTTGCTTATTTGTTTGTTAGGGAAACATAAGTTCATAGGTTGTCATGTTTTGTTCATTAGACTTCCCTCTCTTTTATTTTCTTTCTCAAATATCTCATCCACTATTTGTCCATTTGATATTCTGGAAAAATCCCCAACCTAAATAACAACCCCAAAACAAACCCTCATTTTCTCCCTAGAGAGTGACAGAACTAAATACTGGTGCTTTTTGTCATTTCACTTCAGCTCCTGTGTTTTTTTCCTTGGAATTACTGAAGCCATAAAGTAATCACTTTTCTGATAGACTTGCACTTTCCAAACTGTCCGCCTTAATGCACTAGCAAACATTTTTATGTTAATGTAAAACCCAAAACCATAAAAGGTTTGACTGTGCAGTTTTGCTTTCTTTTTGGAGCATGACAAATTATACACCAAGTAGATGTAGGTTAATTTACATTCCTGGGTTGATTTGTTAATTAAAGAAGCAATGTTGCGTTCTATAGGAATCTGCTTTATACTGAAACTGAACTCTGATAAATGAATGGACATGACAGATAAGTAAATCATTGTAATACACTGTAAGATGCACATTCTTATCCCCCAGCTTCACCTCTGAATTCCTTAGCGCTACATAGAAAGCACAAATTTTACCTATTGATTCCTGATGGCAATCCTGATTTCATATTCTTGTCTCACTGCATGGGGACAGCAACAGCATATACACGCAAAAGCAGCTCCCTCATGTAGACTGATAGAAACACTGGGACCAGGATCCACCCTGACAGCCTGGGGGTAGAACTGTTACCCTGCAATTCTTATGCTTGCAAATAACATTGATTAACTCCTCTGTCTCCTTCATGTTTTCTAAGAAAACTATCTGCCCTGTGTACATCTCCATCTCTATGTGCTTATGTCCTTGCTCATATTGCCTTTCGTTCTTCCTTCTCTGCACATCCTTCTTCCCCACATTATCTCCTGTTCCCCTCATGTCCTCTGAATTCCTACAAGCTTCTCCAGGTCCTTTAATCACTTGGGGAACAGGAGGGTGCCATGTCTTCTTCCCAGCCCGGAGAACGAACATCTATAGCTCAGTAAGTCACTAAGACCAGCAGAATAGATAACTTTTGATCTCAGCATGCAGTTTTTCTCTCAAGAGGGCCTGTGTTCCCTGTGTCCACCACCTATTTAAAAAAACGTACTTAAGAATTGAATGTTTTGGAGACAGCTGCTTGTCTCAGATTCAGATTAAATTGATTACATGGTTGAAAATTTCTTGAAGAAGATGTAGCAGTGGACAGATGAGTGGTGTGACTCGTAAGCACCATTTCCTTAGGAAATCAGACTGTAATTCTATGTCATCTCCCCAGACATCTACGCTCAGGGATTTACTGAAAGTTATTTACTTTAAATGTTAAGAGCACACAAGTTGGTCACAATAACTAAATGGCAACTAGTGGTTACTATCCAGGTGTAAAGTTTATTGACTTAACAGTCAAACTTTCCTCAAGCAAAAAAGGTTACAAATGGTTAATCAGACGGAACTCCTGCACCTTTTTAAAGCTGCAGTCACCAAATGATTGCACTAAAATAGCATGTCTCAGAGCTGATGGGGATTACAGCATTAGGCAGAATCACTGTGAAATTCAAAACAGTTCAAAGGCAAAGAAGAAAAACAAGCTTACTTGCATTTATAGCTATTCCATAGGCAACCGTCTTGTGAAATGTGATGTTTTTGTCAAGCTGTCTCCTCAGTGCTCCTGCACAGCACTTAGTGAAAAAGCAGAACTTGTTTTATATCATTCCTATTACTATTTACAACTCACATTTTGGAGAGGAGAAGAGAGGAGTTCAGTACATTTAAAAATGGAATGTTGAAGGAATTCAGTGGAAGTTTTGGGTTAGTCATAACTTTGGGGCTCAGGTAACTGTTTGTGGTACAGTGATACTCCAGGATTCCTTAAGCTGCTTAGCATACGTAGGGGCTCAAAACCAGGTTAGATAAAACTCTGCTACATTTAGCTGTGAGTTGCGCGTGTTTTATCAGGGCTGGCGATTAACTCATTTGCTGATATAAGGACACCAGGCTGGGCCACCACTGCTTTGCAAGCTCCGGCCCAGCTGCGTGAACACAGTTGAACTGCTGGCAAAGCCAGCTTGCAAGGAAAAACATTTATGCTGCTTTCATGAAATGCACACCCCAGGAGGGAGAGGCTGTCTAGACCTCAGGTGGCTGCATGCTTACGTGTCACCGAGCCGTCGTCCCACTATTGGCAGTGCTGGGCGGTGGTGTGCCCATGGCCAGCTGGGTGCCTCTGCGCACAGGCAGCCTGGGGCCAGGGCGGGCGGCTATCAGCCAAAACTAACACGCTCTGCTGGAACCCAGACAGCCCTCACAGACCTAACTCGGCCTCTGAACGGTGTTCTGGGTGTCTGAATTGCTCACTTGACCTGGCACAGTGCCATGCCAAAGATCCTGGCATTTGTCCACGTTGTTTCCTAGCTAATGAATTTTCCAAATATCTGGAGCACCGCCGGGTGCAATGCCAAGGCATGGCACCTCCTTGGAGAGTCACTGGATCCAGCCTGTGCTGCCCCTGCTGGAGCCAGTCAGCTTGCTCTGTACCACGCTCCTCAAGAGCAGAATATTACCCAGAAGAGCAAATATTATCTGTAGGAAGAGTTGCAGTTTTCTGAGTTTTTACTCAGCATCAAAAGTGGCCATGCAAATATTGTCTGTTGATTCACAAACTCATTCAGAAATCCAACAAGACTTTTTTTCTTAAATGCTCAGCTCCTGGACTCAAACAATTATAAAACAGTGGTGATTCCCAAATGAAAGACTGCTGGAAATGTAACTCTAACTCTGAAGAACGAAAAAGGCAGAACTGAAATAAGAACTAGCTTACAACAAACTAAATTAATGTTAGAGTTTCAAAACTGCTGTTCTTGGAGTCATGAAGTGATCAGTGATTTTTTACCCAAACATGTGATGTTGGAATTGCTCTGATTGTAACAATTCACTGCAAATTGAAGCTATAGCTAGTAGAGCTAAAGCCTTGAGTACTTCCTATGCACGATGCTGAGGCTAATGTAAATGCCTCTGAGCAGATGACCACTCCATTACAAAAAAGTATGTTTACAAGAAAGGAAGACCTGAATAGTGGCCACTCAGACAGAAGGGTTTAAACATCTTCCTTATTATCCTTATGACACTTTTATCTATCTGTACATTTTCAATCTTCAATTTTCAGTTTGCAGCTACACAGGATACACATGATGGACGTGTATTTTCTCCATTTGGCCAAGCTGCATTATTACGTCCGCTTTTTGTAGCTCCTCACTTTTTACTTCATGACACCATGCTATGCAGCGGCTGCCAAAATCAGTGTTGCGTTTAAAGCACTGTGTTAAACAAGCCATTTGTTTCTCTTCAGTCATGAATACTGACAATTTAAATGGTAATAACTAGGCAGTAGTGTACAGACTTCTCTATCAAAAATTAAAATTCCTTGGAAAACGTTTGATATGGATAATACTGCTGAACTACGGAAATAAAAAAGGGAGGATAATACGGCTATTTGAGAAATGGCACTTACAATGCTTGCTCCTCTTAAGAATGAAATAAGGTTTCTACTGACTGGTAACAGGATTAGCATGCAGTTAAAATTCAGGCACGTCGCAGAAGCTCTTGCCCAAGCCAGGGTTGACTGTACATATAACAGTATAAAGAAATTAAATTACAAGCTTGGTATAGGAAGAGCAAAAGAAAGAAAATACTATATTAACATAATACTCTTATATGGGAAAATTACTGTTGAAGCATGAAAAATATTATTGTGAAGGATGTAAATAATATCAGCCTATGCATACATTCTTCTTGTGGAACCCTTTAACAATCAAACTCGTACTTACTCCCAGCATAATCCGTGTATAAATGTAAGCATCTTCGTCTTCATACCAGTGGAAGGTATCAATGAACAAATAGAAATTCAGTCCCAGCCATACCAGCTACCCCCCCCCCAGCCATACCAGCTACAAAACAGACAGGCTACAGATTAGTGATACTTACAATATTTTTCAGTGCACATAAAAATGGTTATGCTTATTGTTTTAAAAGTATCTGAGAGATACTTCAAAATCAGCGTGTAATGCAGTTCTTGGTCACAGATGATAGAAATCAAAAATGTCTGCTGGAATGAGGCTACCTTTTAGCAAATGCAGGATTACAGTCCTATCACCACATCCCTGGTAGAGGATATAGATGACATTTACTGTACGATAGTAAACTTGATCTTAAACACAGGGCTTAGCCTGGTCTCTAAAAAAGGCAATAAAAGCTAAAATAAAAGAATTCAAAAAATGGAGGGAGTCAGGAGCGGAGGAAATTCCTTTCTCTGCCTCCTATACTCAATTCACCATAGCCTCTGAAAATAATTCAGAACATAATTTCAATTAAAATTGTAAGCCCCTGTTCCCTTTATCTGAGGACTGAAGTATACAGACTTAAAAATAATTAAAAATAAAACAGTAAGACTTTAAATTGTTTTTAAAACTAGTTATAAAAAGGCTGCTGAATATTTTATAGTAAGTTTTACATTAAGCTTGGGAATATTACTGTAAGCAAACCATAAAATGTCTTTTAAACAAGCTTAAAATATTTATATATATCCAATTAGATTTTTTAATGCTAAAAATACTCACTAAGAACAGCACTGAGAGTTTTTCATTCAAAATCCAGCATCCCATCCTGAGTGCCTCTCCCTATGCTAGCAGCAGCTGACTCTTGCCTTCCAGTGTAACCTGAGTTCTCTGCCCATTCCTCAGGCTTTTCTACTAACTCCTTTTGTCTTTAGATTTTAATAAGCACCTAGTGGGAGTAGGAGCTCTCTCTAGGAATTTTCTAATTAAGGACTCCCTGACAAGAACAGATCACCCAAGCGACATGTCTCATGACCAGTGTAAATAAAATGCTGGTCATTGTCCAGTCCTTTCTCTCTCCAGAGTTATCTCTCAGCAAATGAGAGATGCTGTCATTAAATTGTGCTCTTGTACTAACATGAATTTGGGTGGGTTTTTTTGCTTTGTCTTTGCCGTTTGAAGAGATTGCAACTTTTCTTCATGATTTGTCTTTTAATTTAGGAGCAAATGACAGCATCCTTTGTGTGTGTTTAAGATGGGATCATTGCTAGAAGATCTTGGGCGTGACAAAGTTACCCAGCCAGAAGTTGGGAATTGTCAGAATAAAGGGTGCCCCTCTAACATTCGTCTGGATTTCTTGCAAATATGGATTATGGCAATGTTAAAATGCATGATAGTTTTTCATTCATTTGGCTGCAGTCATGAAATAAATTAATTTCTGTTTCTCCTATTTACAGTGTTTGTGTAAGGACACTAATCCTGCTTCCTTCCCTCTCTGCTAGGAGGAGAGAAGTAACAATGATTTCCTCCTGAGCTTCTCTGTCAAGCCTCACAAACGTCAGCTGCCTTCACCCGTGACCTGTGAGGTGAGCAGAAGATGCTTATTTCAGAGGCCTGAGCACAGAGGGGTTAGGAAAAACCGCATCCCTTACTCATGCATGTGGCTTGAGCAGTCTGGCAGGCACCGTGGCTCTCCATGTGCTCCGGACCCTGCTCCCACGTTTTGTCTGCAAAATGATGTTGCTTTGGCAGGATTTGAGGCACTCAGGAAGTACAAGCCTCTTCCAAATGCAATCCACAAACAAGGTCCAGGGCTAGAGCTTACCCATTTTTTCTCAGGATTTGTTTTTCTTTATAAAACCAGATGTTCCAGTTCCTCTGGATTTGTCCTGAGCACTATTCAGCCTCCTTCCTTCTCCTCAGAGGTTTACTCCTGTGAGAATCTAAGGAGCCACCTGTGAAAATGAATCAGCAGGATTCAGTATCTCTCAGCAAGATAAAAACCTTTGACAGGTCACCGTAACAGAGAACGCTATTAGTCTGTTAAAGTTTTTTTTTAGTAGGTGGTTATCTGTGCAGCCAGCACCACGATTATATTTAACGTGAAGAGCACTTTTTTTTTCCTTTACTAAGAGACAAGAAAAATTTATTGACCTTTCTGCACTTTTCCCGAGGAAAATACCTTCCCCTTGGCCTCCCTTACAGCGTGGAACTGGTGGCAACTGGGGTAAGGAATAGATTGCTTTGAAGCGTGGTCAACTCCACTGCAGGAAGGTCCTCCTGGCCAGCCAGGTCCTAGCTCCTCTTTCGTCCTGTCCTGGTGAGCGCTTAGCATTTACGCTTGGCTCCCACTGCCAGAAGCAGTGCGAATTCTGCCTGTAGTAATCTCATTCCTTCCCCAGTAACACCATTTTCTTAAGGCCTTCGTGACTTGGCTTGGAGACCTTTTTGTGACAAACTAGCTTATAATTTCTTGAAGTTGAAATACTATTAAACTCAGATACTTTTTAGACCAGTGCTAATGACCATTAATATGTTAGCAGAACCATGGAAATGTGGTTATGAATACTCTGAATACAAGCATTTACAAGGGATTTATTTTGAGCTTTATTTTTCTTGGATGGTAAAATTAAGCATAATTTATTAACTGACATTATGACAAGCCATGTGCAGTAATTGGCCACTGTCTGTTATGTGGCTTGATATAGGTTATTCCCACAACCACCCTCTTTACAGTAGCTTTGTTAATGCAGGAGCTAACAAGATAGTGAGTACTGCTGTATTTTTCAGAGGTCAAAAAAAGAGGAAATAAGGGGCAAGGGAAGAAGAATGTGCAGAGGGTGAGGAGGAATACTGGTAAGGTCAGATGCCAATTTTAACTACTTAGAAAAAGGGCAGGGGGGGCAAGAAAACTCACTATCTGGATTAGCTGCACTTCAAAGGGAAATGCTGCACTGCGATGTTCTGCTTTGAAGTTCAGCCGATCCAGACAGCAATTTTCTAAAATGAGTCAAAACTGGCATCTGAAATAGATTTTTTTTCAGAGTACAGCAGATTCATATGCTGGTTCAGGCTCCAAAATTTGTCTGGATCAGCAGCTGTACTTCAAAGCAGCGCATCTCAGTACGGCATTTGACTTTGAAGTGCATGTGGTCCAGATGCCAGTCCTCTTAAAGGAGCTGATGAATCAACTGCACTTTATTTTTTGTCTGTTGAAACAACTATGTTTTTTTCTCATATATAACGGTAGTGTGTGTGGTCTCCAGTATGGTATCCATCAATAAAAACATGAAACTAACACAAAAACTCTTTATTGCTTCATTTTCTACAAAGGAATTGGTCATCATTATTTTATGATACTGATTTGCAGTGATCTTGGCCAATTTCTAGCACAAACTAGTCAGACGACTCAGGGAAGGACATTTTATTGATTAAAGAACTAACTGTATTCCATTTTGTTATTGTTTTATCATTATCATTATCATGAGCTGCAACTGTCCTAAAAAGGATATAGAATAAGGATGAAAAGGAATTTGTTCTGGCAGTTGGGGAAAAAGCAGTGATGGGTATGCTAAGTTCCCATGCAAAAGACGGGCAACCCTGTCATTAGCTTAAAAGGTCAGTTTTTGCATGGAAAGAGGTTTATGAGGTGCTGAATTCTCCCATGTAACTATCTCAGCATTAATGTCAATGTTTATATAAATTACTGTTACAGATCTCAATCACAGTTAGTTCTATTCTATTTGACAGCAACCTCTGTCTGAGATTGTTAGTAATTTTTTTAAAGTACTTTCAACAGTGCTTACCCATTGCAAGACAAATTAATTATTAGCATGAGACTGTATACCTATACATGCATATATTTCTTTTTGCAGGGCTATCCTAATTTCACTATTAGGTATGCATGCCTTGTTTCTCAAAGGCAAAATCATTTCAGTTGACTCTGAACTCTGCCCTAGCCCTTTCATAGTTTTTCTGTGTGCTTGACTTTACATCTGTTAGTAACCTGGATGAATTCGATAAGCTTCACTATGCTATATATAGAGGTGGATGTAGGTAAACAAGTGATCTGTAGGATCAGGGTTCTTTAATTTTGCAGACCGTCTGACAGCCATTTAATTGCTGACTATATCAGAGTGTATTAGACCTTTATATTAGACCATACAAAATGATGGCACTGCTGTGTTCTCCAATTTTTACTTTATTTCTACATAATGTTTCCTGATCATGTGTAAGAAATGAGAGGTAGATTTGTTTCTGTTGAATGGATGCAGACGCTGCACAATATGTTTGAGAAACCATTCAACTTTTGTGGAGAGAGAAGCTGCTGAAGCTGATTAGAGTGCAAACCTGTTCCTTTTTTCCTCTTTTTTCCTTTTAAAGGAACAGAGGCCAGGGTTCAGCTTTGGTTGTTCTTCAGTGCTCTGATTCTACCTTTGTATAAGAGACTTATTGAATTTCTATAAACAGTGGCTGAGTTACTAGTAGCAGAAAAACATATATATAATTTGCAGAGGTTTTCTTATAGCGTTTTTTTTTTATTTAGCTACCTCATTAATGTTAATGGATTTTTTTAATGAACTGTACTCATGTTACAGATGGGGGAACTGTTTTGCAGTTTGAGAACATTCGAAAAATCCCTAAGCTCTAAAAGACTAATGTAATATCAGCCTTGTCAGTGCCAAAGATTCAAAAATCATCAGATTGTTCTAAAATTTATGAAATTAAAAAAAAAGAAGAGTGTGCAGTCTTGGGGAGAGTGCTGACTGAGTACTGAGACTTCAAGGGCATCTGGCCTCTCATTTACTGCTTTTCTTCAGTAACAATGCATGTATTTTTTAATAAAAAATTGAAAATCTTGGCCCCAGAAGTGGGCTTGAAAAACAAACAAACAAAAAAATCATGCAGTTATCAAAACACTTGTGATGCAGCTGGCAGAATTAGCAATGGTATAGCAAGCATTGAATTGTTTCGTCTCACTTTATTCTCAGCTGCCCGTAGCAAGGCTCCAAGACCTTCCTAATTTCTGAAACTTGTTTTTTTATACAACAAATGAAAGATATTCACATTTGCATACAAGTACTATGTCCATAAAAGTAGTCATTGGTAACAGAGCACTAAATGGAGGTAAAGACTTTTGCCTTTATCCAGAAAAGCAGAATAAAGTTTCAGAACACCTTTAAAAAAAACAAGTGTCCTGGTTTCAGGTCCAGCTCCTCTGGACACAGACACAGTACAATAAACCATTTCCTTTCCCTGTGTCAGCAGTCCTGATACTGCTATCAGGGATATCTCAGCTGACGGACAGTGCCAGAATCTGGAATTGCAGTGTACGCCAGCGATGCCTACAGGACTCTTGAAAGGACTCGAAAGAATAGCAAAACACAAGGGTCTGGGATCAAAATCAAAAGTCACGTTGGAGGCTACATGAGAGATTGTCACTGACCAGTGTGGAAGCAACTGTTGTTTCTGCCTGAAGCAGGGCTCAGCACCCTGTTTGCAGAGGGCAACCATAGCTCCAACTCTTTCCACAAGCCAGCGGAAAAGGTTTGTCAATGAGAAACGTAACAGCTCTAGCTTGGGACATAATCAGTTCCCAGCCAAATGATGTTAATATTTGAATCTAAATCTTTTCTCTCTCAAGGGACTCCTTTATTACCATGCTCACACTGTAATCAAAATATATTCAGGAGCAATATCAGACATTCAAAAGCTATTTGTTTCAGTAAGTGCCAAAATCTCCCAGATCTTCACTGTGCATCTCCAGAAATAGAGTATCCTACCTTCCTAATCATATGTGCAAAATGCTGTTTTTTCCACATGAGCTG